TTTCAAGCTTTGCGTGCAAACGTTATGTTTTCTGGTGCTTCTCTTACGGTTTAATGGTCGCACTTTATCAACATTTGAAGCATAAGATATGTGGTTAATATGTTTAAACAGTAACCCTGTGAAGACTTCGGAAGTATGTCTTAATTAATACTAAATGTTTCGAACTACGTTGCTTGTGGTTTTTAGATTATGGTTTGGATATCACGTGCTGCCAACTTCGGGAGAAATGACACCAGGTTTGTGTGTTAACTCTTCATACAACTAATAGTACAGTCTATTTCCCTTTGTCAGTCTGCATGTTTGCTTGCTAATGCTCGATTTATTGCCTCCAAACTTTATTATGAAGGAGTCAAAGTGCTGCATCTACTGTGTTGCTGTGCCTAATGTGTTGTTAATAACGATAAATGTTCTGTAATCTGGGCGTATATTGGTGAACATAATAATAGTTCATAGAAAAAATTTCAGTTTACCGAGGGACTTGGTTAAAATTAAGTGTGGACATTTTGATAATATTTACTTTTCAAATTACCACAGGAAAACTGGCTAGTTGCGTATGTAACAAACATTTCTCCATACTCTTATACATTAAATAAAGCATGCAGATAAACATTCCGAGGTCAATACTAATGCGTAAAACCGATTTATACTTAATAATACGTCATTTTAGGCCAGTGTCCGCAACATACAAAATGGTATCAGAACGTCGGAAGGGGCCCACTCGAGATTACTTAGACCAGATTACTTCCCAAATCATGGGTCGCGAGGATTTCTGACGGGTCGAACTGCGATAGTCAAAACATAAAAATGTTTACATTATTGCTGATTTATCAAAGCAAATGTTGCCGAGGAATTTTTCACTTCATTTCTGTGCGATTGTAAACAATTAATATATAATACTGGCATATTTAAAAAAATATTGTTTTCAATTTTCCCGTAATTGAGAAATTATGGATCGTCAGGAAGAACAATTTTTGAAATGCTGGGTTGCGAACACTTAAGTTTGGAAATCGCTGACAGACGAACGTGTATGAACGTGTCTTAACATCTTCAGAATACCAATCAGGGTTTATAAAATCGTGTCTTAAATAGTTATTAATAAGTTAATAAAATTATCATGCATTCTGGTATATCTCTATACTATGTTCAGTCAGTGCAACTGATTGATGGACATTTAAACATATTTAAGTAAAGAATATCTAATGAAGACCCCTAACCAGTGGTCACTTCAAAACATCCCCAATCTAAAAAAAAACCATTACTGTCCTTCACAACTTGTACGTATTCGATCAGAACTCCTTACCAGAAACCATACTACAGACTGTCGGACGAGTTTACCTTGAACCGTATCGATCGGATACAGACCCATAATCCCAATTTCACACAAAAATGTACGACTCGTCGTACAAGGAAACATTAATACGACGCAAATTACATAGAGTTGAGATTTGTGATTTGAATATTACCCACTGACAAGGACGGGTCGTCCTATGACAAGCTCTATTCTTCCACAACCGCCCCTCCCTTTATCTGTATCTACTCTTCCCCCACTATCTTCATACATCTTCCCTTGTTTGTTCTCTTTGCCTTGGCCTTGGTCTCACCACTCGTCGCTTAATTTTACTGTCTTCATTTTTTATGCTTTCAAGCAAATCGTACTGTGTTATCCATGCGTAACACATGCTCATCCTCAATGTGACCAACTTTACTCGCAGTTCTTTTTTCAGATCTCAATTGTCTGGTTTCCTATTTTATCCATTCTTGGTCGTTTACTAATACACATTCAGTAGTAACATTGTCTCTACTACCTGCATTTGCTCAAACCACATCCAAATCTGTGCTCCATACGTCACAATAGGCAACTTACAAGTTTTAGGCTCCCGAATATGACGAAGTGCTAACAATTCGGCTGCGACGTCGTTTTAGAATCTTTCTTCCTAATTAGACAGAAGGCTTTTAACACCACTATTATCATAGCCCTCTACTGACACAGTCATGAACTGAAGTAACTCAGTTTCACATTTTAACAGCTTACTTGTTTCAGATCCTTTTTGGCAGTCCTCCAATCGAAAACATCAAAAAGACTACGTATTTCTTATTTGTCCTTGAATGGGCAAGCCTAAGAATAACTTATACCAATTCAAATGGCACGATTAAGAACAATTTCCCCAGCTTTAAATAATTTCAGCTAATAGTATTATTAAAAATGCAGAAAGAACTGTTGAAATTCAACGAAATCCATTTCTTTTACTTCAGCCCTCATCCTGTATCCCTTTCGCTTCTTCCCTCCAAAACAGCCCGTTATTGACAGCAATAAAAAAAAGCCGCCTTACGTGTTACATTATCTGAATGTTTTCTGCGAGGTCCGCCCCCATTTAAATAGAGCACATGCAAGCATAAAAGTATGTTTTATGTAACACAGGTAGGCCCTCATAAAACAAATGATTGAATGAAGGACAGATAGAAATGTCAGCAAGTTGGGACAAATGCAAAAAAAAAAGTCATCCTTGAAATACAATTCACCTGGTGCAGAATAGTCAATCAATCATGCAGTACACATGCTTTTAAAGAGGCAATGACCCTGAACAAAGTTCTAGCACATTTCCATAAGTTAATGTCCATTTTAAACAAGTTCTCACTCACTTATTCCTTCCTGTGTGTTTGTGTACGTGTGTGTTACTATTAATGATCATGATTAATCATCTACCATCTTTTGACAATTAAGCAGCATCCTACAAAAAAATTGAATTGAAAACCTCAGTGTGGAAAGGATTCAACATATAGATTAAGTTGGACCAAATGGAAAACATTATATCAAAAGATCACACCATAGTAACAATGGTAATTTTTCAAAATACATTTCACCAAAGAAAAATAGTGTAAACTCATTCTCATGTACCTAGCTACAGTGATTTGCATATAAAAATACATTCTTGTTATAACTAATGTAATTTTCATGTTTAGACAATAAAAAAATATTTGAACTGGAAAATACATAATTTAAAAGTGCCTATCAATATACAAATTATTATGAACCTCAGTCCAGTTACCCAAGTGTTGCTTCCACCTCAAAAGCATGTGTGAAACACTAATATTCTCTTAGCTAGTGAAGAAATTCCCAGCCCTCTGTGGAACCAAAAGGTTCATTACCATGTTCAAAAGAAATTGCCACTCTTCTGCACCAGATGAATCCAGTTCACATTCTCACGCCCTATCTTACGAGATCCATCTTAATACTTCAAGCAGATACAGCCAGACACCATCAAAAATGGTGATTTTATTCATTATATGCACGAGACACTGCTCTATGAAGATTCTCTTGTCCATAATGAAGATAAAAAATCATGATACAGACTTGGTGATGCCTAAAAATGCATCAACATTGTACAATTAAACCTAGAGTTGACAATTCTGGATTTCAAATAATTTCTCTATAATTCAGTTTAACATTATTATTCGCTGTTTCACAAGAAATTTCCCTGTAAGAATTATGTTTGCAGCTGTTGTTGCCCCCATGTGAGCTGAACAAAACAACTGTCTTAAACAAGGGGTCAACAATATATCTGAACCACTTATAATGTGGGACAAATTACGCATTCGTAGTTGCTATTCAAAATGCAGAACGAAGCCCTGAAATGAGGGGCAATATCACAAATACAGAACCAGGTACAAATAATCAGAGCTTCATTTAAGCACTATACAGAATGGGGATATTATTTTTCATCTTATCTACTTAATTCCTTTCACTTTGTAGGTTCCGCATGCATTAAACTCACACTACAACATAGAGAGCCGGGATAGCTCAGTCAGTATAGTGACTACCTACGGACTGGACGACCGGGGTAAATTTCCCCGACGGGGACAGAGAATTTTTCCTCTAGCCTCTGCGTCCAGACCGGCTCTGGGGCCCACCCAGCCTCCTATCCAATGGGTACCGGGGTCCTTTCCCGGTGGTAAAGCCCCCATCAAGTGCCGAGGTCAAGTAAGAGTAGGAGCTATACCTCCACTCCCAAAAATGCGCCTACATAGAAGACAGCCGTCTTCATACTCACCTCCATGAGAACCTCAAATCCTCTTTGTTAATTAACACTTCCTCAAGGATGATCTTGCTCCATGCAATTACTTTAAAGTTACGAAAAAAGTTACTATCACAGTTTGAGAACTCACCAGTCTTTTGTTTTGTGCTGGAAATTGGTGTAAAATCCTCCAAACAATTCCATAGATAAGAAGATCACTGCACAATCTTATCAGGTCTTCTTGGATCCTCGGGATGTCTCACTACACATTTTCTTCTTATTGTTATAACCAGATTGAAATCTTGTAGAAGCTGATGGAAATGTTGTACTTTCCTTCGCTGCCATTTTGATGTCATAACACATTAAACATGTCAGGAGGCCAAGAAACATTCACTACCAAGCAGTCTTCTGCATGATTCAAAAACGTTTAAACCATTGTCACAGATCTAATGGCAGAACAATATGATGTTGAAACTGAACAAAAGGAAAGATGCTCGAACAAAAATGTTCCATCAAATCGCATGATTTCATTTAGTTGTTCTTAGCACATAATTGGAATGAAAAACCTGAACACAGGATCTGAACATTCGGTCAATGTACGAGAGACGGCACACCTGTGTATGTGGGGAAAGTAAGTCATTTCCAAAAACTAGCACCATTAACATTTGCATCTGTGTTGCGTCGAAAGGAACTTCTGTTATGCAATGAAACACATTTCATAATCCTGAAGAATGGATTTCAGTTTCTGTGTTTTCTTACTACACATCACTCTAATGAACACTTACACTGTTGTAATATCACAGATACACAATTATGAGCTGGTGTCCGCATTCTGACCAAACAATCGGTTTCCAACTTGTTGAATTGTGTACTAAACACTTTTAGAGTCGTTTTTAAATCCAAATCCGCCGTTACCATCTTGCATAAGTAAAGCTCAAAAGTTTGACATAATCAGAAATCCTGAAACAAAGTTAAAAATTAGTACCAGTCTGAGATTTAAGATTCATATTGCTATATACTTAGGAATCTTCAATGTATCAAATCCCCTCACTTTTCACTCCATCATTTACAGTCCTTCACAAATAATTTGTTTTGGCCATTCTGAGTCTGCTTTGTTTACAATAAACCCTTTCGATGCTGACTTTTCTTTAAGAAACCTTCTTCTGTTAATAATTTCCACAGTAATGAGTGATTTGTATTGTTATAAAACCACTAATTGTCATCTGTAAGACCAAGAGATAGCAGGGCATGCTTCTTTCATTGTTCTTCAGAAACAGGGAATATATCCAGACCAGAAGGGTTAAACATCCTCAGCAGTCCTTATTAAAAAAAAAATTAATCACAACCAATGAGAATCAACAAAAATTTCCCTTGTTTACCACCAGAAAAACAATTCATGTTTATGCATGAGATAATGGGTGTAGCACTGTTGAATCTCCATACCAATATCACACAGTTCAAAATGCTGATTACCCTTATAAGTAATAGATAACAAGTATGCTCTTAGATGTGGCACATGGTTTGTTGGTTCAATAAACAATGAAGTTAATGTTATCAAAATGTACACAGCAACAAACCTCTGAATGTTATGTTCTAGTTTATATCACTTTAAAGCTTTACTTTAGAACAATGCAATAAGATAAATGTAAGTGTGATTTTGTTTAAAGATGTATTTCCATAACACAGAGAGCAAAAGATACAAGTACGTAGTAAACGACTTCTGAACTGGATTAAGAAACTGTCAGAATAATTACACGCTTTCTCTGTCGTCACAGAAATTTTATAGCAGGTGGGATTGCTTGTAAATCGACATACTAAATTCAGCTCTGGGCTCAAAGAATAATTATACAGACTTAAATTGTAAAATTGCTTTTAAAGATGTTTCACCACGATGCCCGGTAGATAGTGACCGACGTTTCAGAGGGGCTTGCTGCCTCTGTCATCATCGCCCTGATGACAGCGCAACATCCACAAGACAGCCATTTCATACTCGGCACGAGAATCAAAAATCCCACAGTAACTTTTGCTTGACCGAAAGAGTTGTATTTGTTTGAGAAATCTAGTGTTCGCACATGCACCGTCATATTCTGTCTGCATTATTGAGACCTGTACCGAAAAGTATGAACGAAATCTGTTAGAAAGTAAAGTCGAATATAGCTGCATACATCTGAAAACTGACCCTCTAATTAAAACTGATTGTAGTCTCTTTCAAAAGTATTATAAACTTCACACAAGTTATCTACATCAAATAAAAAATCCACTATACGTACGCCAGCATATGAAACTGCGACAGTACCTTGCTTCAACAACGCTTCAACAAAAAGAAACAGTTACGTACGAGTTGCACTTTCGCTTCTTTGCAAGGGATATTGTATTTCGGGACTGTTTCACATGACCCAACTCCGCCCGATGACGTAACATAAGCTGTATATACCCAAATGAAAGTGTAAGTGAAATTGTATAACTTTTAGATAACATTTAATAGAAGTCTAAAAAGGCAAGCCTCACACTTTCCCTAACACCTCATATCGTCTGAGGAGGTATTGTCTTCTTTGTGAACCAAAATAAACCAGAAACTACAGGAGGGATTGCGTATATTATACGGAGTAAACGAACGCACGCGCGCACACATACACATTCCATTAAACAAGTGATAAGTTGCTTTATTTCCTGTTGTCTTTGCGACAATTACGATATAAAAGCCACTGGTAGGCCAAGTTTTTAACTACATTGTTGACTCCCATAATACCAATAAGAATCACGATGGTCGAGGCCTATTGCCTGGAGAAGCACTATAAAACTCCTTTTTTTAATCGCAACCTACTGTAGATTTTGAATTTAATCCACCAGTTATTAAAGTGGAGAACACTAACAGTGTTTAATTTACTTCGAATACGACAAACAACACTACCTTATGGCGGAATCTGCGTATTGTTGAACTGGATGAAACATTGCTATAGTCTAGAGTCTACACGAAAGAACGTATGGATAACAAGCAAATCACAGACGGTTCCAAAAAGAATTAATTGTACACCGCATGCAAATCATGCTCAACCAACACACGAAAGTACTAAAACTGCAAGTACACTATAACCTGTGGAATACTTGGATCATTCACTACACACTAATTTCGTCGTCCAACACACATACACTAATAAAGAATGCACTATGTAACGAGAAAACTTGCCTCATTGCAGTTCGCTTCACAAGGATGTAAAAGTATCAGAAATGTCCTTCAAGCCCAGTAACTTGGCAACAAGCAGTGATGGCTTGCTAAGATCCAACTGGGGGAGACTTACATTCACTCGCTCGCCTATTCTTTGATTTCGTTTTTCCACACATCACTTTTTTCACTCGTCATTTTCCACCTTCTTCTTTTTCTCTGATACTCAAGGTCGTCATTTTTATTTCCATTCTCTTCCGTCTCCTGACGCGTCTGCGCCTTCCACCCCTCGCTGTTATGAGCTCTTATTTTTGTTTTTCTTACTTCTCCGCTTGTATTCCAAGTTTTGCCACATTGTTGTTCCTTCTGCTTTGTTTTTCTGCCGAACGTAACAAATGTGTAGTCTAATCTCTGTGAATTATTAACTTTGAATGTTACTTCATCTGGTTTCAAATAGTAGAACTCACCGTAGTGTCTCGTGCTATTTCTCTCCCCTCTCGATCGTGCAGTATTGTATTTTAATTTCTCCCCCACCAAATCTGAAACGCTGCTACGTAATACTTGTCCACCTCTTCGGTTGCTTGCTTGCTTTCACTACCATGGATATAAGGAAAATGGCAGAACCAAAGAGTGGGAGAAGGGACATGGGAGGAAGGGGAGAGAAGTACTTTCACGGTATACCAAGGCAAAATAGGGGAAATGTTCGGTGATAGGGGATAGCAGATGAAAGAGACGGAGAGAATTCGAAACAATGTTCAGAGTGAAAACATTGTCCGCTCACAGAAATTAATACGCAAAGGTTTCTACCGACATTTTTAACGCTTTGAATACGCAGCCAGAAGACTTACTTACGGGTTTCCTCAGTCCCTTCTGCCCAACTGAAATTAACTGCATGGAAAGTCTTTTTTGAGTAGCTGATAATACGCTCAGCTAGTCGAAAAATTCTGGCTTTTATGGAACTCCGAGGTTTATTACCGTGTTCACAAGATCCCGCCACTAATCCCTGCCAGATAAATTCAGTACCTTACAATAGGCCACATCCGCTTCTATCGACTTCCATGCATCATTCGCTGCCCCTTCCATTAGACGCAGTCGGAAAAGTTTCATTAAATAAACCAAGACAGAAAGATCACAAAGGAATTTCAAATTTGGAAAGGAGGCGTCCATAAGATATGTCTAAACAGTTTAATTGTTTCGGTGTGGACTTTGAATTAAGTATATTTTTCAGCAAAGTTTTTAAAAACGTTCTAGTGAGGGGCTCTAAAAGGGTGCGAATAACAGCGCAGACGTGTCTGCTTAACGCAACTTTGAAATCCGTCAAGGTCAGTCTTAATGTGATGAATATCAGACGCTCATTGGCATAATTTTCCCTAACAATCATTACAGTCACATGTGACCACTGTCAGTACCAAACTGCGTTTTGTTGGTGGAACGCGAATACCAAACTGGTTACCTGCTACAGATTACCGACTGAAATACTTCGTGGTTTTTCAGTTTCCATTTTGACTTTCATTCTTTCTTCCACGGTCACCATTCCTTTCCGTATCTTTAACATCCTTATCACTTCATATTGCCATCTCATTCGATATATTCGTCAGTTAGAGTCGTAGATCAACCACAGGAGCCAGTCAACGAACGTTACGACGGAGTTGCGGGTTCAAATCTTGACGGACATCAACTGTCCTGGGGGCTTTTCGTAGTTTTTCTCAGCATATCCGTGCAAATACTGGGATAATACATAAAATTGGCCACGATCGCTTTCTTCCATATTATTTCCAATTTATTTTTATTAGGAATAATAATTCTGTTAATTTGACACTGTATCTGAGCTATAATAGCGTCGTTAAATAAGTCACAAGTATTAAAATTGCATCATTTCAGGACACCACAAACAGAAAATTTGAAACTCGGAACGTTTATGTAACCATTTAATAGAGCGACCGTCTTCTGTTTCCCATGGCAACCAAGGCTTGCAGCTATGCACCGCTGAACTCAACTATAAAAGTTACATATAATTCCAAAAATTGTGTTATTTCTTCACATTTTACGTTCGAACCAAGTTCAACACTAAGGGTCGACCTTAAATTTCGGACAGTTAATTACACGTATTACACATATCAGAACCGAACGTTGTGGTCGAGTGGTTGTCACTCCTGCATCGTATTCGGGAGGTCCCGGTTTAAAATCCTGTCTGAGGTTTTTCATGGTTTTCCTCAATCCCTCCAGGCAAGTGCTGAGATAGTACCTTAATTTATGTAACCACCGCTTTTCTCCACATCCTTTCCAATTCACTATTCGCTGTCATCCTCTCATACTACTGAAAAAAGCGTCGTTAAGTAAATTTTAAATAAATAAGGTAAAAAGTAAAGTAAAGTTTGTCCCACTATACGCCATGTAGGCGCTTGGGGGGGGAGTGGAGGTATAGCTCCTACTCATTCTTGACCTCGGCACTAGATGGGGGTGAGTGGTCAGCATCACGCCCCGGCCGGCTTTACCCCCGGGAAAGGACCCCGGTACCCATTGTAGAGGAGGCTGGGTGGGCCCCAGAGCCGGTCTAAATAAATAAGGTATATTTTCGAATTTACAGCCCAAAATGTAATTTTTAAATTTGTTTACTGACGATGGCTGTGATCTAGGTTGCAACACCGTCTACTCTGGTGGAAGTTTAGCGACGTTCATGGCTATTGAGGTTTTTTAAAATTTTATTTAGATTAACTGTCATTTTATCTGTAATACTATGTCATGCTTAGGAGCTTCAGTACAGTTGCCGAAAAGTGATACCATCTTCGAAACACACATTGAATGTGGGTTCTCAAGAATTCTCATTCTAATTGGCCATTTGTGCTTCAAATGATTAAGAAATGTTAGGTGGAATGTTTAGCACTCTCAGAGTGGAATATTAAAATGCACAGTGACAATGTCAAAAAGAAGTAAGTTAGCGTGCAGCTGCTAAAACTTGGCGAGAGAAAGTGATTCAACTTCGGTCTTCATTTACACCTTCAAGTAAGTTATTCCAGAGCTAATAGAAAAAAATACTCGTCTCCATTTTGCGGGCATCACTTACGTCTTTTCCATCATCATTGTAATATATATGACTTGAAATAAAGTAGTTTACGTGATGTATATTTTGGTTGGAGAATCCTCCTATCAAACTACCATTTGGGAGCCTACACCTCCCGTGTTTGCAATTTTGATTCCATTTGTACAGAAAACGAGAAAATAATACGCTTGTATTATTGTATTATTATTATATTATTATTATTAATTTATTATTATTAATTGGTCATCTGGCTGTTTGTGCAGCACTCTAATAAAAAAAGAATAGAATTATTGACTTGAAATAAATTTTATACCCGTGAAATTTAAGTATGCAAATTGTTTAACGCATTCCTTGGTTTAATATCAGTCGAATAACGAATTGGGCTTGGATGGATGTGGAATTACGAAACCACATGTTGATCATCGTTAAAGCTCTTAAGTATGTAGAGCATGTGCGTATAATTAGCGTGGTATTTTTATTAAGCTAACAATAAATTGCGATTTATATGTGAAGCAAGAACATAAAGCAGGTTGTGTTTAACGATAATGATTTAGATACGTATCCGGGAGTCATCTGGTTCGAATCTTCGCCAGGTGACCAAATCTGTTGACAGGCTTTAGTTTCTTACATTAGTTATGGGCCGTATTATTCCACATCCTTTCAAATGCATCACAGGCCTGTCCAGTCATTGATGCAAGAACATGGGAAGTCGAGGATGCGTCGTTAAATATATTCACGAACGAATATCCATTTTAACAATTGCCTTACATATTTTTCTATGTAGTATTATTATCTTCTGAGGTTTCCCACAGAAAATTTTGTATGCATTTGTTATTTTATTCGTATACCGCCTGCGTTGTATATATTTTTTTTGCTTTAATCGCCCTAACATTATTTAAAAAAAATGCAAATAGATTTTAGCTTATGAAAGAAAAAATAAGCGAATGTCGTGCTATCGAAGGATCAAGGAAGTGCACTTTCTGACCCTAAACTGTTTGCTAGACTCTGACCCTGGCTTCTTCAAGTGGACAGACTTTCAATGACAATGCCTTGTCTATCTACGATAGATGTCACATGCTTAGACTATTTACTGGGGTGACAGATATTTTTTTAGGTCTCGTTGCCAGCGCCCGGGGGAGTGACTTCATGGTCACGTCCTCTTGCTTGAAACGTCATTCATATGCTCCGCAGTTGACACACCGTCGTTAAAAATTCGATAAATATTGTATTTTTGTCCCTGCGAAAGCTAGTATGATAATTTCTTAATGCAGTGGAAAAGGGTAAAGTTCATAAACCCTATGATAATTGGGGTAATTAATGAGTTACATTAATATAAGGATTTTATAATTTCTAATTCTCAAGTTGTTATTCTATTTATTTACTTTTTAGTGGTTTATTTAACGACGCTTTCAGTAGTTGAGATTAGAGTCGAATGATAACATGATTACTGTATAATGAATTGGAAAGGATATTTAAGGAAGCGGTCGTGGCTTAATTTAAATGTATTTTCCCAGCATTTGACTGAATTTACTAAAGAAACCACAAAAACCTTTTGATAGGAGATATTGGGATCGAGATTTAACCCTGGACGTTAGTTTACATGTCGGGAGACCTAGATGCAGATGGTAACATTAATTTGAATATTAAGGAAACAGGGTGAGAATATGCAGACTGGATTCGTCTGTGTGAGGCTATGAACCATTGATGGGCTGTTCTGAAGAAAGTAAAGAACGGCTGGGTTACATGAAAGGTGGACAATTTCTTGAGTACTTCACGGCTGTCAGCTTCTCAAAGACTCTGAGGCTTGGAATTATTATTATTATGTCATTGTTGTGGTGGTTGTTAACTGCCGGAAGGACAATGTAAATAGACGTACTATATAATCTTACATTTTCATATTTTCACTAATTAAGATGAAACAAGAAGCTAATAATGCAATTAACAATAATTAACAACGGTATTTAAATTAAATAACTCTTTATAATTTTGTGATTTCTTTACTATTCTATTTTTCAGGTACACAACACAAGACCTAAACTTCACTTAAAATAATTACAATTCTTTTTTGTAAATTTTTGGAGAAGTCGGCTATACTTTACGAAGTGAGATTATGGAGACGTTCTATGTGATGCAGAATTGGCTAATGCAGAAGGCTTTTCTTTTTAGTATTGTTGCTGTAGTTACTTGTTTATTTTCTTTGTATGAGACAACTATTATTATTCTAATCAGTTTGTTACCATCAGGCTCGAAAATGGGCAACATTCAGGAGGTAGATCGCTTTCCTGAGACCGACTGATGTTCAAAGATTTCCTTCGTGTCCTGCTACGAGTAGACTACCGTATTCTTTCAGATTGGTTATTCACAGTCACAATTACTTCTAAGAATATGATGTAAGCAGCCCTGGCCACGGACTCGAAAGTCGTAATTTGATAAACAGTTGAGCTTTGGAACAGTTGTTCACCTCCGCGTTCGTCAGATAAGACTGCTAAGGCCATGAAATCCGCCTGAACCTTACACGAAAACTTCTTATTAACCTCATTATTTATTAATTGCAGATGATTTATGGAAT